AAGCCGTCTCCAGTCATTATTAGTCTCAAAGTGGGTTCCTCGTCATCGAATTTGAATACAAAACACATGTTTACTAATGAAAGGCAAAAGATCCTGTTTAAATACTAAAAAAAGGGGTGTATTTTTGTTTCTTACACTGCCATCTGGCTATTCTAACGTATTGTCAAATTTGTCCCTATTACGTCGATTGACCTTATCCTTTGTTTGTTATTAAGCACAAAGCTACACAAAGGGCTATCTGTGCTCTGTCCACCACGGGTATCGAAATCCGGTTTCTAGCAGTAAAAGCCCGCAAGCATACCACTGTGTCACTGGGGGGCTGACTTTATACGATATTAACTCTTTTCAGTTAAAGGGCATTAACACATTATTGTTTTGTAATAAGTCAATATTGTAATTGTATTCTTTTAGCATAAAGCTACATAAATGATCAAAATTGAATATAACATTACAATACACATAATATATTTCAACAGCTTAATTATCACCACAAAAAAACACAAAATGGGTAGAATAAACCTTTTAATTGTTGTATCAAAAACCCTTTACTTTACACGAAAGCTTAACTGTTAAAGTCAACTCTGAAAATAACAATTTTTTTCAATGTACCAACATAATTATTAGAAAAAGAATATCTAACACAAAAAATGTACACCCTTAGCTCTAGATCGAAACTTTTAAACATTATTCACTATATATATGATGGACGATTAAACGATTACTAACAGTTGTACCTAGTGTTAAATTTGATGAGTGCTATAAAACAGAAAAACATAATAAAAAGTCATTGACATTGTTTCTGTGACTCATAACTTTGTACAAGACATGACTTGGTATATTTTAACATGAAAAGCAATTAGCAGAGTATATAAAAATAAATCATAGATTAACCGATTGTGTTATGAACCACTATTAATTATTCTGACCTTAAATTAAAATACCAAATCGAGGTTAGAGATTGAACCCGTGTCGCTGCCTGATTAGAGAGATGTTTTAAACAATGACATTAATTAATGGTATATTGTGTTAAATAAATAGCCTAGTGGTAATAAACCTTCATCATAATTCTGATGTATTGTTACATAAATAAAATTGATGAAAAAATTACACTTCATCAACTTAATATAGTTTATACAGTAACACTTGTTGTCAAGCAATTTGCTGGTGTAAATAGCTTTTCAAAAACTACTATGTCCATCACATCCCAGTCGGCCTGAAAAATCCAGGTATTGTGCGAAAGGCCTCGTCGACACTAAATATAGCAGATATAGTGTGGTTGGCATATTATTATACACGCTTCTTCATTTTCACTCAGAAGTTTTTATTAACAATTATCACATCTCAAAGAATATATTCGCTGCTTATAAAAGGCAACAAATCTCAAGAACTGTGACAATTAGTACGTTGTTTGTAACTGTATAATAAAAGTAATGTATGCTGATTTGTACACAAGTAACTTAGTTTTGAAGCATTAACCAACGTTACTACAATATAATATTATGTGGAATAGAACATATCAGTTTTCGCTGAAATAAGAGCTCACAAATTCTATAGAAATATTGCACAAGACCCTAATATAATGCAGTATTTTAAGATGTTTGTTTAGAATTTTGGCAAAACTACACAAGGGCTATCTGCACATATCCGTCCCTGATTTTGAACTTATAGACCAGAGCAGTGGTTCTCAAACTGAGAGACGTGCCACTGGACAATAAAGAAGGCAGATAACCAAGAACACCAATGGTTCTCAAACTGAGAGACGTGTCACTGGACAAGAAAGAAGGCAGGTAACCAAGAACACCAATGGTTCTCAAACTGAGAGACGTGCCACTGGACAATAAAGAAGGCAGGTAACCAAGAACACTAATGGTTCTCAAACTGAGAGACGTGCCACTGGACAATAAAGAAGGCAGGTAACCAAGAACACCAAACGGTTCTCCTAGACTACTCTTGTCTCGCAGAATACTACGATTTGACACTATCATAGCGCACCCACTACCCAAAGTGAGCGCGTTTTTGCGGCAAGAGGCGCGAACCCTGATCCCTCGGATTTACAGTCCGGGCACACTAATCATTGTGCCACACCCAGACTATCGTCATAATATATTAGCATATTATGTATTTATGACAGTAACAATAAACAACCGATAAAAGCTTTCTAATGTGTAATAAGTGTTAAGTGTTTTCATTATTAAAGCATGAAAAGGTAGTTATGTGGTCGGTTTTGTAAGGTTATTGGATTTTACTTGAATCATGTAGTTAACATTACCCTTGGCATTATATAACACTTGGCGTTTAATCATTTTAACTAGAATAGTCATCACGAGAAAGGAGTTACAAATTTAAAAAAAATAACATAACTTACTGTATTTACTTACTTTATTACCTCGAAATATATTTTGTATGTGTAATTTCTCGCTGGTAGTTTTTCTAAGTTAATCGTGTTTTTGTAGAAGATAAAACATCAAATAATTTATCCATCGATGTGTTAATTAATTTTTGAAACCATGTGCATCCAGTATAACAGCTAATACAATGTTTTGCGAACTCAGGAGACACCTTTATAAACAACTAAAAAAAGGAGTTTTTTTAATACCTTCAAAATTCTATGATCTTGATATGAACATATTTTACAAATACTGATGAAAAATATTTTTATCATTATAGCGTGTATTTTCCACATAATAGACTTTACAAAAATAATTTGGCTTGTTGGTGCATACCTTGATTAGAACTCATTTATAAATCGCCTTTAAGATATTTTATATTTTGTTTTATCCACACACATGTAAGCGCCCTCCAGTGGCAGAGCGGTATGTCTGTGGACTTACAACGCTAGAAACCGGGTTTCGATACCCGTGGTGGACAGAGCAAACTTCAAACAAACACACGTAAAAATTTAAAGACGATCGTAGAAAATGCAGATAGCTAAATTTAAGAATAATAAACGAATAGGATTTCATACAGACTTTATTTGTTTTTATCTCACTCCTTTAATTCTGTCATGCTAATGTCTGAATTCATTAGTTCTATCATTGTGAAAACTGTTACCTTAACAACTTATGTACCTGCATATTTTAGTTGCAGCTTTCACGCTCTGTCACCTCGTCATGTGAGTCTTTCATCATGCCAGCCATCATAGCTTGCTCAGTGGTAGAGCATTGGTCTTATACACCAAGGGTTACAATTCGATCTTCATTGGTGACTTAGGCTTTAAACTTAAAGGTATGGGGGTTAGGGCATTGATTCGCAATCTGTCGGCCGCGGGTTCGATCCCCGTCACTGAACATATTTTGGGTTTCTGTGTGGTGGTATTTACAACAATCAAAATAAAACTATGTAGAAATATATACAATTTCCTGCGACCAGCACACTGACGTACAAAAAATTGGATTAGCTTATTTTGAGTCTTTTTAGAGTGGTAGAACTCACAAAAAAGCATAATTTGGGTTTTTGATCAATTACTCAGCCATATTTTGACCATTTTACATGTAATTTGGGACAAAGATATTTTTCTACAAGCAACATACATTGACAAACAAAAATGTTGAACTTGTCCATTTTTAATGATCATAATAAGGTCAAGGTGCCACGAAAAGTATAATTTTAAGGTTTTTTGACAATTACTCCGCCGTATTTCGGCCAATTTACATGGGATTTGGCACAAAGATACCTCTTGCAGGACCCAAGCGGCCTGGCATGGCCAGGTGGTTAGGGCGCTCGATTCGCAATTTGCGGGTCGCGGGTTCGAATCCCCGTCC